TATATTTGATGTATACACATAAATAAAGATTATAAGACATAATCCTATTTCCCAAAGAATTACGTTTCTTTGGAAGATATTACATATGAATATATCTATAAAACAATAAGAAATTGTATAAGTGATCTATAATTATATTTCATGCTCCTTAAACATTATGTGTCATTCATATATATATATATTCTATAAACCAGTGGTACTAGGAAAATTGTAACAGAAAAAAAGAAAAAGCAGATGAGCCTACCTGGAAACATGTAAATGCGATTGCGTGTATGCGTGTGTGTATGTGCGTGTATGTGTGTGTGTACATAGTATACCATGGCAGCTCATGTTTAATATATATCAGGTATATTTCTAGTGTAGAATAATAACTGCCATCCCATTTTCTCATTTTCTAAATTTAGAATTAGTTTTATTGGGTTTTCTCAAAAGTATGATACTTCCGTGGCCTCTTAGTTGAGAAATTTGAGGAAAATTGGATCACGGAAACCAAGGGTTTCTGGAAGGTTCTTTTTACCAATACCTTCATCTATGTTCTAAATAATTCCAGAAGTTTCTATCTGACTCAGTGACTTTTGTTTGCCATTCACTATGTAGAGTAACTGCTTTTGGTTGTTGAACGTATATTTTTCAAATGTCCAATAAAAGGCCCTTTGCAATTCAAGACAAAAGGTTGCTTTGGGGAATTTAAAATTTGAATTTCCTGAGTTAATATGACACTTTAACCTATAAAAGACTCCACTGAAATGGCTTTTATTTGCTAATAATTGCAGACTTAGGTCCGGAAGACTTTCAGCAAAACATAGTTTGTTATTCTGAGCACTCTACTTTTATGAATGTCAGTAATTTCAACCATTTATGTGAAACATCAGTTGCTAGTAAGCTCCTTTTTTGTTTTATTTTCCACAGGTCTAGAGTACTGACAACACATGCCAGTAAGTAGATGAAAAGCTCCTTACAAATATGACTTGGTATTCTCCTAGGTTGCTAACCTAAAATTAGCGTACTCATCTTTTACTATTTTCTTCTTTAAGATACTTGTTTCCTAGGGCACTTTGAGCTTTTTGAATTTCACTATATAAAAGACATCATTTTAATTAGCAGATGGCAGTTAATTCTCTTGTAATCAGCACTTACCTATTCCCTATTCACTCAGCTGAAAAATCAGAAAAATTACTTTAAAAAATCCACAAAATAAAAAAATTTAAACAGTATGTCTTCTGAACCAATAAATATGTGTTGAGGGCACTCCAACACAAAAATAGTTATTTTCCCCTCTTTTTAAAGATGATAGTATTTTCACTTATTTTGAAATTGCTTATGATTTCTAGAAGCATCTTTGGGAACAAGGGAAAATCACCCAATTTAACCCAAGGTTAAGATTCATAAGATTGTCAGAGTTGGCTGCAGAGTTTAAAACAACCCAAAGAGGCTCACACTCAGCAAGAAAAAATAAGGAGCCAGAATAGTAGAGTCTTGTGAACAGAACAGAACACAGTCACCCCTACCTGTGGGGGACTGGATCCAGGACTCCTTGCAAATACCAAAGTCGACAGATGCTCAAGTCTCCTATATTAAATGATGTAGTATTTGCAATCAACCTATGCACATTTTCCCATATACTTTAAATCATCTTTAGATTATTTATAATGCCTACTACAAAGTAATTGGTATGTCAATAGTTATAATGCCTTATTTTAGGGAATAATGACAAGAAATAAATGTCTGTACATGATCAGACCAGATGTGATCTTTTTCTCAAATATTTCAACCATGGTTGGTTGAATTCCTAAGTACAGAACCCATGGAGGCATTATTAATGAATGATTAACATTGTAAAATATTAAAATATTAATTAAAAAAGTTCATAACCCATGGAAAGAGAGTGGACTATTTTCATTCAAGAATCTGGGGGTCTAGCACAGTGGAGTTTATTGCAATGTAGTTTGCTGTATAGGAAAAGAATGTCCTGGGAGTCCTATGGGCTGTCACAGCAAAGTTATTTCATGATCAAACATTTTAAGTTAGATAAGAGATCTGGACAGTTTAAGCTTATCTGATTCTATGTTTTGTATTTGTTATTTTTGCCCTTAATTTCCTGGGAAGGTTTAAGAATGGTAGAGAGGCCACAGGCCTCTATAACAGGACTATAACAGGATTCATAGTCCTACTGATCCAGGCAAGTCTCCTGTGTGGGCAAGAAACTGGGGAACATGAAGGAGACGGATTGGGGGAAGCTCAGAGCATGGTGTTTTTCCTGATGTCCCTATGATTGAGTAAATACTGCAATCTAGGGACATTCAGAGAAATGATACATCTGTCCTTGTAGTGTAGGACCATGACGTTAAACAGGGAACTGCAGGCTCTGTTTGCAGCTTGTCATCTGAAGGCACAGCCCATTCAGTTACTCAGCTGACCCTGGTGTAGCAGGCTGTGTCTACCTGGAGAGCAAGGCAGTATCCCAGGCCATAATTCTGCCTCCTGAAGCTTTTCCTCCTCTCCTCTTACAAAGGAGTATCTTGAAATCTGGCTCTTCAGCTTGTAATAGTAAAGGCCAAATCTCAAAATACTAAGGTTCAAGTAGGGTTGAGAAGTAGAAGGGTGATAGGAGACTGCAAGGACTGCCGGGGCTGTTGAAGAGATGGTGGGAATGTGCAAGCACTGGGCTTAGTTTTAGAACAACTGCAGTCTCAGTGGACTGTTATTTGAACTCCTCTCTTCAATTTTCTAGTTTTAGGTAATTTTCACTCAAGCTGCAGCACCACTCCTTATTTTGCTGCTGGTTTAATATCGATGCTTGACCTACTCTTAACGGTATTTGGACCTCTTTTCTATAATTCAGCTACACTTACAGGCACAGATTGGCCTGTAGGTCAAACCAAAGGTGTGACAGGAAAGGTATATTCTTTGTCAGATTGTTTATCATCTATCTTGGACCCATGATTGAACTAGATTGCTAAAATCTTAAAATACAGTGGATTTCCCAGGTAACCTGTATTTGGGGAACTTCATTCCACCCATCACAGTTTTGGCAAAAATAAATCTTGAAAAATGCTCGACACACAAAAGAAAAGAACAGTTGCAGCCTCTGAATGTGTTGCCCAGCCCCAAAGTGACCTTATCTCACTGAGTGGGTTGTTACAGGTTTAAAGTTAGGATTCCACATTTCAGCTTAAATAAAGAACTGTTGTTGGAAACAACAATGTTACAGTAATATCTCAAAGAACCAAGCATTATCTGATTCTCTGTAGCACCAGTTACAGTGTCAGGATGCCAAATTTGAATCTGAGATTATAGCCTTTTGGGGGTGTGGGGGGGGGTAGAGAAATTCCTGATTTTTTTCCCCTTCAATATTCTGCAGATAGGAAAATGTTCCAGAGAAGCAACCTAGAATTTCAGAAAGAAAACAATGTTTCTTGAAAAATCCTATTTAGAGTCCACCAAATTAAAAACACAGACACTTAGTTGAGAATTCTGCCAGAACACTTCAGTGAAAAGTTGTAAAGTGAGAATTTCATAGAAGTGCCAGTTCCTTGCTAAACCCAAACTTTTAACACCTTAAAAGATATAATATGTTTTAAATGACTTCATATTTAACCTTGTCTAAAAGAAAGAAATCCAAATGCTCACAGGGGCTTGGATATCTCCCATGACAAGGCTTATGTGGCAGGCCACCCAAAGATAGAGCACCACATCCTGAGTCTGGATTCTGCTTGTGGTTCAGCCCAAGGATTTACATGACTTAGCAATCTACTGTATCTATATATATTAAGGACAGACTGCCTTAACATAGGCTTCCTGCCTTACAGAGTGGCAACTATACATGTTGGGATGCTGCTTGTGTCGTGGGAATGAACCAGCCCCATTCTTAATCCAGTACCTGAGCCTCTTTACTATCCTGGATTCCTTCCCTGTCACCTGCTATTGCTCTACCTCAGATGTGAGTAGACAAATCTTTCTACTCCTCCCTAGGGAGGCTTGCAAAGCTACTTTTGGAAAAACATTGATGTCATTATTCCAGTTCTTTTTTTTTTTTTTTTCCTGAGATCTTCCTACAGGGAGAACCTCAGAGAACAGACCCTCAATTCCCTTTTTAAAATCCTTGGACCAGATGTGTTTGGAACTCAACATTTTTTCAGAGATGGTGTTCATAGCATATTTTACACAAAACCTCCAGCAGGGTCTAAGCCAGCACCTCATAAATATGTGACTATTTCTGCAGTGAAAATAGAAATTTTCACAATAAATGGAATGAGCAAAGACCATAAATAGCCTGAAATCAGTTTGGGACAAGTTTGCCATCCAATGAATTTGGGTGTTAAATTTGCAAAAGAACTTTCAGTTTCTTGAGCGTTTTAGGTTTTGAAATTGAAGACAAGAGATTTTAGACCTGTATTAGGTTTTTAAAGAGCTATGAGAAACTAACCTATTTGTTTTTAGATAAAGAGGAGATGAGCCTATGTACAAATAGCTTAAGGAGGACTTTCAAAGAAATCTTTAGGTACATATTTTGATATATTGAACAGGATTTGAGATAAGTGGGTTGTCCTTGTCCCTGGACTACTGGCATATGGCCTTGACCGTCTGTATTTCAGAGTTGATCTGTGACGGTGCTGTTGTCATGGAATCTGTGCTGCCTCACTGCAACATGGGGAAAGGGACAGGAGTGGGCCAACCTAACCACTCTGACACTCACAGGAACATTCCCAGACCAGAATAAAGAACCAAGCAAGATAGTTGGAGCCAATTGGTATGCTCATACAATGACTCCATAATAAAGTAATTACAAAGTTTGATTTTTTTAAGCATATAACACCCTCCCACACTTATGTTCTTGATATAGGGTAATGTTTGTAAAGCCCAAATCATTGATGTTTTCAAGGTGGGACTGGGAAGACTATCTTCTGGGTTTTTATGCTAGGGACTGTCTACATGGAAAGGACTATTCTCCTGGAGATTAGGGCTGTCACCAGTGAATACATAGAGAGATCAAGGCTTACTTGGCTTCCAGGGCCAGTGCAATGATGCCTGCAGCCATGGGGGCTGAGGCCGATGTTCCAGTGTGATTGTCGGTGCATCGTTGCCTTAGATCCGTCGTGATCTAAAAGACAGAAATGAAAAACTTAGATCTCTGAGGTCAATGTAAGTCATATGCAAGTAGAATGAAATTTACTCACAAAAGTGAAGTAGAGGAGTGTTAAAAGATTTGTTTGTAATTTCTTGTTCCTGCAACCCTGTGACAATATTGCTTCCAGACAATCGCCTGTGTAAACCGACTTTGATGAGAAAAAGATTTGGAAATTGTCCTTCACTTCTACTAAAGCCAAAATCAGGACTAAGGGGAGCCTATGGATAGAAACACTGTTAATTTTAAACTGCAGGCATCCCATATAGTTCATCCTAGCACAAGCTCTGGTTAAAACCAAAGTTCTTTCATTGCTCCAATATTTTAAAATAATTAAAATGTGTTGAATCGACAGCTACTGAGCTTGGCATTGGGAACCTAAGAAATAAAGCTATATAGCCCCCACTTTTTCCAGACCATTACCCTGAGAGTGCTGTAGGTTTCAAGCTAAAGTCTAAATAAACTCTGCCATAGAAGGTAAGTTTGGTTGTGGAGCTTTCTGGAATTTATAGAAATATTGCAAGGTCGAACTAAGATTTCCTCAAAGACTTCATATAAATACAACAGGACAGACTAGTATGCTTCATATGCAATTTAAGCACAGAGTGTCTGCTTGTCCATTATAGAAAGAGATTACCTATTCCTCCATTTTTATTTTTTAATCAAAATATGAGAACTAGATCATTTTTATTTTCTTGGATTGAATCCAGTTCACTTCAGCTGTGGCTGAATAATATCGTCATCCAGCAAGGGCAATGGTTTTCAACCTTTGTTCCATTATGGTCTCATTAAGGAAGAAAATTAAATTTAAGTTCTCCTTTAATAAGAGAAATTAAATATTAGGGAAGATCTTTCTGGAAACCATTGTAATACTGTAAGAGTTCTAAAATTCTCCCTCCCGGAGAAGAATCTATCTTTGCTCCCTTGGGACATGCGCTGAGAAGGCACAGGCTTGTGAGGTGAGTCCACAGACTCACTGCTATCACTGAAGACATTAGTAAATCTTTCTTTGGCAATAAGACAAGTATGTTACTACCTTTTACAGATAAAAAAAAATATGTCAACATAAAGGTAAAGGAGGATAAAGGCAGCAGAAAACAAAGCCCTGTCTTCCCCAGGTGCTTCCTTTAAGAGGAATGCAAAGATGAGTCGAATTTGGTTTGCTATACAACTCCCTAGAGCTGAATCCCCTCCCCTTTAGAAGTTTCTTCTCTGTTCCGGAAGGCTGTCTTCCATTATCTGTTATCATTCTAGACTGGTATCCTGGCTCATTCAGTTTCACAGGAGACCATCTGTTCTTAGTATCTTTTGTTTCTTATGTCACCTCTAATGCAACCAGATTATCTGTGTGAGGTAAGAGTACTGGCCCAAAGCAGTTGGAAGAAGAACCAAAACTTACAGAACCACGTGGATATGGTGGTGTGGATGGACAGAGTTTATTCACGCTGTTAACAAGTTTTCTGCACTTTCCATTATTGACTTTAAAGATGTATTTCTATTGTGCTAAAAATCATGTAACATAAATCTACCTTCCTAGTATAATTTTTATGTGTCCAGTACTGTAAGACTAACTACATGAGCACTGCTGTACAGTATCTCTAGATCTTTTTCATCTTGCATGAATGAACTCTAACCATGGAACAAGTCTTCCTCGCCCCTCCCCTTGTTCCCTGGCAACCACTGTTCTGCTTTCTGTTTTTATGTGTTTGATTGTTCTAGGTACTACATGTAAGAATCCTGTGGTATCCATCTTTTCTTCATTAAAAAATTTCACTTAGCATAATGTCCTCAAGGTTCATCCATATGGAAGCATGCGACAGGATTTCCTTCCTTTTCAAGGCTGAATAATACGTCATTTTGCCGATTCTCTATCCATCCATCTATTGGAGAACACTTGGAGTGAACAGAGCTGCAGAGTTTGCACGTGTGTGCAAAAATCTTTTCAAGGTCCTATTTTCAATTCTTTCAAATATATTTCCAAAACTGAGATTCCTGGATCATTAAAAAAAGGTAATTCTACTTCTTTTGAAATTTTAGGTCATTATTTTCTAGTCTCCAGAGTCACTGCTGTTGAGAGATGGCCTTGCTTGCATTCCTTTCATTTTACCTCAGCCACGGTCACATTCCTTTCTCCATGCTTTATTATTATTTTTTTTTCAATGACTTGTGCCTGGATTCAAGATTTTTCATGCTATTTCCCAACTTGGCTCTCCTGGCTTATTCTTCAGCTGCACCAGACACTTTCAACACACAGAAACAAAGCCAGAATCAACACTCCAAGTGTGTGTAGCAGTTTTGAGTCTAATAAATAACCACCTCCAGCCAAACATGAACAATGAAAATTTCATTTCAGCTTTGCAACAGGAATATGCCTCATCCACATAGAGTCATTCGGTATAGATCACATAACACAGACTTAAATAAAAAGCTGTTTAGGAATTTTATAAATAGACACCAATGAGGTGTTAAATGCTCTTCACTTGGGCAGGTCTGGGGAATTCCAAGTCACTATTTTATTTTTTTCCCCCCAATCAGTTTACCTAAAAGAAAAGTGAGAGTAGGAAGTAGGGGTGGGAAAGGGGTGGAGTAGACAGGTGACAGAAAGGGAAAAGGTTAAAAGGAAGGAGGGTGGGGGGAGGAATCACAACATCCTCACCCCCTTTTCATCTGCTTTAATCGGACATTGCAGCTGGAGCATCTCAAGAGGAAGTTACTGTCAGTGGTGGAGCTATTTAGGTGTAAATTACTGAGAAGTTCTAAGCTGGAGTTCTCATCATTTAGAGAAGTCACGGTATAGGAGAATTTTTATGTCTATCTTTAGAAAGAAAAGGCAAAGACCACCAAGGAAAATGCAATCTTGAAGAAAAACGATGTTCTCCAAACTGGAAGCACATGAGGTAACCCCATTAATCACAAGGCACGCAAGCAGGACCTGACAGTGTCATTAAAAGGAAAGTTGTGTTGGATGTTGGGCACAGAACGTGGGGCAGGGAGAGTCCAGAGATTCTATGTGCAAAGCCAGACAATCAAGCACTTTTAATGTCAGATGTTCGAAAGAATGTCTCAGAAGTTGGTCTCGATCCTGGTGGCACGTCTTGCATGCTACAGATTCCCTCAATTCACTACCCAAATCAGAAACAGAATTTGCCTCCAAAGAGCCTCTCAGATTGCTCAAGAAAATATCAACTGTGTCCATCGGAGGGAAGGAAGCTGGAGAGGAGGACATCAGGCCCTGAGCCAGATCAAAGCTGGCCTGATCAGCAAATTAGATGTTTTCAGCCTCTCAGGATCAGTAGCAGACGGTTTTTTGGACTCCACAAAGTTCGGATGTGATCTTTACTTGGTGAGAAGTGGGTACTGTTTAGGTCTAGCCAGTCTCCTCCTCCATCACCACTTTTTCTCATCCTAAGATCTTATTTCCTCGTATGTCACGTTTCATTATTTGAGCTGATTGGACTTTTGATTATAAGCTATCGATGCAGTTCTTTAGGGAATCACAGTGCAGATTGACTTTGGCCCTAAGTGACAGGCTTTGACAGCAACCCCACAAGCCGGGGGGGGGGTGTTTCTCTCCCCAATGACCTGTGACATATTTTACATGGAAGGGTCCATATTGTCTCCTATCTGTTTAAAAGAGCAACTGAACAGATATTTTTAAAACATGGAGTGATTCTGCTGTCTGTCTCTGGTGTTGATTTTGATTTGGATTAGACATGTGCCAAGAAAGCTGTTTCACACACCCTTATGGGGGAGAAGGGCAGAAGCTGAATCTTAACTCTATCGATGAATAAAGGAGGAGGAGTGGATTTATCAAGCACAGTGACATAAAAAGGAACAAGGACCAATGAATGCTTTTTGTGTTCACAATGGTGTGGAATTCAATCATGAATGACATGTCAGTCCAAAACCTCACTCCCCTGTTGGTAAGAGAAGCTGTAAGTGTGAAGTACAAGCGTAAGGGTTTGCTTATAAATGTGAGGTTGCTATGATGTAAGGGGATTCCATCTCAAATTATTGTCATGTTTTCTTAATGTTCAGCTCAGTTCCATGCACCAAGAAAAGCATAGTATTTGCTAAGATAAATTGCTAAGATCAATCTGCCATATACTCATTTTAAGGTAAGCTTTAAACTCTAAGCAACCCCACAAGGAAGGGTTTCCTTCTCATTAGGAAAAACTTTCCCACTCATTAGGAAAGGCCTGAAGGTCATGTCTTTCTTGTCTATCTCAACAAAACTCACAGAAACTTGTAATCATCCTACAAAAAATTTGTGTGTACCTGTATATATACAACTCAGGGGTTCAACTATAGCACTATTTACACAATTACTACTACTACCCCACTGCTTCTCCTAAAACAACCTGTAGCAAGTGAAGCAGTGTCCAAAAGTACACACAAACCCACAGAAACTTTGCTAGGAAGATATATTTACCAGCTAAGAATATGGAGGCTCAAAGAGACTAAGTAACTTGCCTGAGAACACAGAGCAACCAATGGGCATGGGAGTGGTGAAGATACTAAAATGTGAAACAGCAGCACAAGAAACTGAGTTTCAGTGGATAGTCCTCTATGAGAAGAAAAGCAACAGAGCCAGAGCAGCAGTAGCAATGGTAGCACTGATCTTGAGTCCCAGCCCAAGTTAGAGAATGGGTATGGCAATGCTCCTTCAGGGCACAGTTAAAACCACAAGTTGTCAGAAGTGGGGTCTTCTTTTCACTTTTTAACATTCTCAACAGAATGTGGATCAAACTTCCAAACATACTAAATACATTTGGATTTGCTAGTCTTTTACTTATGAAAAATAATGGCGTTTGCAAAATTAAAAAGAGGAACAGAGATGATAGAGGATAATATAGTACAGATGGTGACAGCACTTGAAAAATGAATTAGATGGAAGGTGGAGGTGTTCCTGGAAAAAAAGTGCCTCTGCTTACAAGCATTAAAAGCAACAAGATAATCCTCCATGTGGAATTGGTCATTTAGAACAACCCTGAAATACCAGGCAGCAGGGTTGTTTTTTTTTCTGAACACAAATAAAATAAATGACATTGGGAGAGGGCTAAGCAGCACATACATGCTTCAAACCCTGGCTCACAGAATCCCTCCCTGAAGGAATACAATGGACCCATATCCTAATCACCAAGACAAATGGCTAAGGGAAAATGTCAAAGGCTGAGCAAGTCCCCAAAGAAAGAGATAATTTAATGATGAGAGTGAATGGGGAGAGAGGAGAGCTTTATCCAGAAGATAGAACTTGGGAGAAAGGTGGAGGGGCAGTGAACGCTCACAGGTGGAATCTGAATGCTCTTGGACATTAAGGAGGGTGACATGTACAGCTTTATTATATAGCAAGGTTCCTGTTTATTTCCAATGCTAAATATACTATCAAATATCAATTACCTTCCATCAATCTGCCAACTGAAGGAGTTTCTCTAAAAGAAAAAAGAGTGCCTCCCTCCCTGTCCTCCTGTGTCTACACAGACCACTTGTGAATATTCCAGCCTTCCAAATGTCTGATATTCAGGGCTGGGATGTAGCTCAGTGGCAAAGTGTCTGCCTTGCATTCTTGAAGCCCTGAGTTTGACCCTCAGTTCCAAAAAAATGGAAACAAAAAAGAACCCCAAATATCTGATAATCATGCACAAATGTTTATTGAGCTCCCACGCTTTGCAAAGAAATAAAAGGTTATCGTCCCCAAGTATTTCCCACTCCAGCATGAAAAACAGACAACAAATAAGAAAATGAATATGATCATGTTAAGAAGCTCTCAGTGCACTAGAAGGAAAATTGAACAGGAAAAAGGAGAAGAGGGAGAAGGAGGGGACTGCTATTATTTTAGGGAAGGGAAGGAAGTAAATCCTTTCTGAAGTGAAATCTGAGAAGAGACATAAAGGAAGTGGCATCTGGGGACAGGATGCTTCTAACAGGGGGCACAGGATGGAGCCCTGGTCTGAACACCACCCAAAAGATGCAATCTCGGGAGCTCAGTGCTGTGCCTTAGATTTTGTCAGAGGTCTAATTAAGGGAGTCATGAAAGAAGAAAAGGCATGAAGTTTAAAAAAAGAGGACTGAATAGACAATACAGTGGACACCTATATATTCTAAGTGTTTCTTTTTTTAATCACTGTGGAAAGGACACAAAATAGGTAAGAAAATTGCCGTTCCTTCATACAGATCTGTTAGGTGTTATTGAAAGTATCAAAGGCATGGCAGCACACAGATTTACAAGATGGCTTTGGGGGTCCATCCTGAGTGGAACCCTTTTTCTAGTTGTGATTTTTTTTCCTTTTAAACTTTTTAAAGTGTTTTCTCATTAGTCTTGGAGGCATGATAATCTTTCTCCATGATGTTTTAAGGCAATAATGAGATGATGTATGTGGTGTGCATAGTACCAGGCACATATTTGTAGGGCAAAAAAAATGATATAATTTTATGACATATCAATAAAACTAAAAATGTACTATGCATGAGATATGGAATATGATGTGTATAAGTGAGGTTAATAAAATATGATTTCACATCGTAGCTTTAAAAATGACTAGTGCATATTATTATAATAAACTTTATATTTTGGATGCTTCCTTTGCTGGAATGAACCACAAGGCCACCAACAATCCAAATGTATGAAAGCAAGAACCAGACCAATGTCCAGAGTTGTGCTAATGGTAATGGCAGGAAACGCAGGGACAGAGACGATGCTATGTTTCGAAACCAGGGACAAGATTTCCCTGCTTGTAAACCATGAAAAAGCATTTTGTCCAGGACAAGTACAATTTATTTGACAAAAGTACTTTCCCAGAAGCTGAGAGGAGTTCTTTCCCCTCTCCTCGGGTCCTCTGTGACTGTCTCAGTTCAAATCACAAAGGTGCTGTATGAATGAAGGATGACAACCGGCGCTCTTCTGGAGAGGCTGCAAATGACAAAAGGAAATGAATGGCTCAGGGAAGGGAGCCCGGTGCAAAGGAAGACACTGCCATTCCTGTAGCACTCAATCACAGATGCCACTAACAGGATGTGGGCATCACCCAGGGACCACAGGCGTCTAGGTTCAAAGCCTGGTGGAAGCAAGGTCCCAGGCGTAAGGCGGGATTATTCATCATTCTGACATCTTGAAGGAAAAGGGGTCAGCTGGACCATAAAAGGCTGATGTCGCTGCCAGCTCCACTCATGTTCAAACTGTTAACATGCTCGCCATCAAAGTGCCTTTCTTTATGGAGTGGGTGGAACAGAGCACAGTATTTCTTAGGTTGGAAAAACGGAGGTGCAAAAAGCACCTCTGTTAACAGCAGCTGGAAAAACGACCAGCCTGCACTCCCAGGGTGCAGCAGGTTACTGGCTCCGGTAACAACAGTGCCTGAAGCTTTAGAGCTTCGATGCTCAGCTCGTCATTATTCTCAGTGTCCTCTAGCTTCAGGAAATCTCTGAGTTTGGTGCTGATACCACCTCCATTTCATAGGAAATGACAAATGTGACTCAGCACTAGTGGACACTGACTATGAATTAGGGGATACAGAGGCAAAAGAGCTAATTCCAGTCAAAAGAGCTTCATTTCCATAATGAAGGCAAAATCTCACAGAAGCATCATTTTTTAATTAAGAAAGCCAGAAAGTTTTCTAGACACAGTGGTGCATGCCTGGAATCCCAGAGACTTGGGAGGCTGAGGCAGGAAGATTGTGAGTTTGAGCCAGCCTCAGCAACTTAGTGAGACCCTATCTAAAAACAACAACAACAAAAGGAAGGGCTGGGGATGTAGCTCATTCTACAGGGTTAAATCTCTGCATTTTCATCTTTTACTTTATGTTTTGGAGTTATTCTTACTGATGAATGATGTGGAAGTACTGACCGTTGGGCTTGCATATATTTTTGTTATTATTATTATTATTTTTTTCTTGGACTGGGGATGGAACCCAGGGCCTTTTACTTACTAGACAAGTCCTCTACCACTGAACTGCATTGTCAGGCTATCATGTATATTTTTAAATCCAGCCATGTGGATGAATTAGGGAAAGATTTGGGGACATGTACATGGATAAGCATCTTCTATGTAAGTCAGTCTACAAAATGTAACTAAAGTTGGTAAAAAGCAGCTGAGAAATCAAGCATAAAAAAGAATCATAACAAGCAGGAGTTAAGAGACACTAAATACATGTGGATCAAGAATTGTAAGAAGGCTAGGTGGCACATGCCTGTAATTTAAGTAACTCAGGAGGCTGAGGCAAGGAATCACAAATTCAAAGCCAGCCTAGGTAATGCAGTGAGAGACTTGTCTCAAAATAAAAACACAAAACAACAACAACAACAACAAAACACACATAAAAAAAAAAAAACAATGGCTAGGGATATAGTTTGATGGTAGAGCACCCCAGGTTAAATCCCTGCCCCCAAACATGATCTACATGAAGGAGATACATGTCAAATATTCCTTCTCCTAAATTCTTGGACTGGAAGTGTATGGGATGGTGGATTTTTTAAAGGTTTTGGACAATTTGCATATACATAATGAGATATATTGGGTATGAGAGCCATGTCTGCACAAAAAATTCTTTTATGTTTCTTGTGCACTTTATATACATAGCTTGAAGGTAATTATATAAATTACTTTGATTTTATGCATCAAACAAAATTTCATGGTGCGGAGTTTTCCACTTGTGGTGGATTTGGGGATTAGGGGGTTCAAACTGCAGTGCCCTATTCTCTTTCCTATATGCCATACCTGCATGGTTCTGCAAGATCTGAAAGCAGGGTCTTGGTTAAATGCTAACAAGTGTCAGGTACAGCAGCTCTGTTCCACTTTAGAAAGACCAATGCTGAGATAGTTTACAAAACCACAATCAGAGAAAGAACCAAGAGCAAAGGTGCCTGAAACTTAGAATCACCAGCACAGTGTTGGGCACTCCAAAGGTCAGCACTTCCTTAGTCACCAATAGGTTAGGCACTTCTATTGACTTCCTCATTACCTTAGTTATCCATGAGCTATACATGGATAAATAATAATTTTATAAAGAATGTCTTTGAGAAAAAAAAGATCAAGTAATTTGTCCAAAGTTCCCAACAGATAATTAGCTGAAGAGTGAAAGAAACTTATGTAGACTGGACCAGCAACCTGAACTTTTAATCCTTTTGCTGCTTGCCTAGAAAAGAGGACATGTTCACCTCGTAGGACTTCTGTTCTTCTCCATCCAGACTGTATGCTGCAGTCTTAGAAAAGCACTTTTTTGGGGGCACACACCTGTAATCCCAACAGCTCGGGAGGCTGAAGCAGAAGGATGACAAGTTCAAAGCCAGCTTCAGCAACTTAGTGAGGCCCTGAACAACTTAGTGAGAGCCCATCTCAAAATAAAAATATAACAGGCTGGGGATGTGGCTCAGTGGTTAAGCACACTTTGATTCAATCCCTGGTATTAAAAGAGAAGGAAAAAAAAAAAAAGCACCGCACCTTTTATATAGGTACAGTTCAAGTTAAATAAATACAAGTCATTTCTTGGTATCTGCAAAAGATTGGTTCTAAGTTTCCTTATATACTTTTATATATACTTTCAAATTAGCTGGACTTAGACACCAAAGAACTGCAGCTAAGGTTAAGTCAGTGACAAGGCACTGAGATAGGTCAGGTTTTTTAGTTGCTCTGCTACTAACTCATAATGTAAATGTGGACCAATCATTACTGCTCAATAAAACCAATGCTTATTCATGTCTAAAGTTACATTCAATCTTTGACTATAACAATAGAGCCAAGCATTTTCAATGAATTAGAAACAGAATGACAATATTTACAATGACTTGTGTTGAGTACCACCAGCTAATCTCACCTGCTATTCTCATATATTACTTGTACATACATAGTTATGGTTCTTCCTTCATAATTCAAAGAAAACATGAAATAAATTGATAATGAGAGACATGCAAATGTCACATACTATTTTCTTGTCATAGGACTCTCCGCTGCTATAGGTTGTGGCTAGTGTAGATGAACACTCTTCCAGGTACCAAGGTTTCTTTCCACTCTCTGCTGTGCTGCTGATGGAGATGGTATAGATGCTATTGGTGTAGCCATCACAGGAGCAGTGGTCTTTGCTCCTTCCACCATTGCCAGATGCCCAGACAAACACAGAGCCAAGGCCTCTCCGCCCCTGTTGACAAAGAGAAAGAGCTAAATGATGGTGTGAAAAGATGAGAACCACAGCTCTAGACGGAGAGAAGATCAGAAAAAAATAAAAACAGGGCAAAATCAGATGTGTGCAGGATGTCAATAATATTCACTGTATTTAAACAGCATTCAGAGGGGGTAAGAGGAGTTATGTCAATAAACTGAAACAGTCATGCAAGTATCCAAAGCACCAGTGAATATACTAATAATGGCTACAATTTATGGACTGAGAAAAATTCTAAATGATTTTTCTGAATTGGATTGAATTCTTTCAACAACCCAAAAAGATTTGTGCAATTTTTGTTCCCATTGTACAAATGAGGACTTGGGGTACAGAAGTCAAATGGTGTTTCTATGGTTATCTATATAGTAGGGCCAAAATTTGAATCCAGATAGCCAGACTCCAGAATTGGAATGTTATTAGTTGTAACCCTCTTAGTCATATGATATTGCTTTAAATCTTCATATCCACCATGAAGTAGGTGTGATTGTGCACAATTTTTTTATATTTGAGGAGCACAAGTTCTAGAGAGGTTATGCATTTATGCTGAATCCCATTGTCAGTGAGCAGAAGAACTATGTACCAACTATGCAATTCTTTCTAGAGCCGACCTCCCCCATGCATGGTGTGTATGCTGATTACTGAGGCATGCTAATGACACTATAATAGTAAAGGATTTCAAGATTACATATATTTTTGGAATCCCTGAGTTATTCTTAAGTAACCATCTTTATTGCAAAACTTCTAAGAACCTTTAATGTGTGAATGCTCATTTCAAAATTCTGAGAATGGTGTAAACTCTAATGTAATTTCCAAATGTATTTGGCTACAGATAACTTCTTCAACCAGATATATTAACCTTTTTTTCTTACAATGCTAGGAGACAGAGACACGTTCTGAATGCCGAAATTTGGTCACTTAAAATAAGATAATTAAAAGATTCTCTTAAGGCCCTAAGTAATTAAAGAATGGAAGTAAAGTAGAATGCAGATGCATGAAGTAAAGCAACTCTGGTTCTATAAGATGATGTTTTCAGGATAAAACTGAAATAAATCAAAATAAGAAATATTTCTGGGAATAGCTGTATCTGAAATCCTAAGCAAGTTTTATCATTTTAAAACCAGAAGGCATATTGGAGGACATCTAGGCCAAATGCATCATTTTTGAGCCAGGAAGTAAAAACCAAAGTCACATAACTGTTGATGGCTGAGTCTCTTTCTTCCTTCAAGGCCTTGTATTTCTTGCTACAGGTGGAGAGAAAAGTATTTAAGATGTTGTCTTGGAACTTCTGGGAAAAGAGCCAAAGCAAAAGAGATGATAAAGAATCTGGAGTATCCAGATAAACTCTCTCTGACCTTGAATCCTCAAGAAATAGAATATTTATGACATGATTTGACTAACCAGAACACAGATTTTGTCCTTCAACTTGGAAAATGCAATATGATTACACAAGGATGGGGAGAGAGCCATAAAGAGAGGGGGGAATCAACTCTGGCCGCTGTTGCTGCTGGACACTGGGCCTGGACCTGGTTCACCATCCCTCAGCTTCCTATCATGACATCCATGAGACAGAACAAAATGCAAAACTTGCCATGCCGTCATTAGCTAAGAATCTCAGTGAATGCTTTGTCAGTCGCAAGCAGAAATTATACCTCACCTTGGTGTGTGTACTGGGACAGAAACTCTTGTGACTGACTCACATCTAGATCTCAGAGACAAAGAAAAAAAAGCCAGAGAGAAAAGAATGTTCCAACCCATCACCAAAAACTTCCCTCTCAATCAGGCACTGAGGGGCTACATTGCAGACCTAAAGGATGGTCACGCTGGGCCTTCGGCAAGTCAAGAGAGCCCATGCCATGGCACAAAAACCCCACCTCACTTAAACAACACAATGACATGATAGATTAGGAAGCACAAGGCAATGGAAAAGAGTAGCAGATACAATCACATCCACTGATCTGGGTAAAATTATGAATTGTGTGCCCACGTATAAAATTCTATAAAATATTTTTGAAAAGTAATTTGATTTAAGAAAACATTCAGAAAGTACTTTTGTGTTTATGATGTAGTGACAAATGTAGACTGCAAAAATAAAAGTATGTTTTTAGTTTAGAAAAAAATGTGTGTGCATGTGTGTATGCACGTTAGACAACGTTAAGTCTACCATACAGTGACAGTGGACAAGAAGTTATCCTGGTTGGTGAGATTAGAAAATATTTTTATTTCCCTTTTTATATCAACCTTCCAAGACCATGAACTATTTTTTAAAATTTTTTTAGTTGTTGATGGACATTTATTTTATTTATTTGTACGTGGTGCTGAGAATCGAACCCAATGCCTCACACATGCTAGGCAAGTGCGCTACCACTAAGCCACACTCCAGCCCCGACCATGAACTATTTTGAGAAATAAACTTTCCTCTCTTCAGGGAGTAATTTTTTTAACATTATGATTGAAAGGGGTTTCATTCATAGAAGGTCTACTGCAAACCAAAAACAACAGAGGTCAAAATTTCTAGAAACCTGTACCAAGAACTGTACAAGTTTTATTCTGCACTATCCAAGTCTATATTATCATCGTTTTGCAGATGCGCAGACTGCCTCTGAGAAAGGCTTGCTAATTCCAGAGCCAAACCTGAAATACCAGAGCCAGAGTCTGTGCCTTTAACCCTTACAACAGACTGGGGCAAAAAGAGGGCTAGTGGTTATTATTCTGTTTTTCAGCCCAATCTCCTGTGTCTTTATTGCAGCTTGGCATTAGGATCTAAATGCCGACCAGTTCCAAGTTCATTGGAGACTTAGTGGGAAAATTAGAATTAATAAAGGATATATGCCTTTTCCTTAGCACCACAAGACATTGATTCCAAACCAAAATTTCCCTGGAAATTCCAACTCTCGTGGGGCTCCCTCAGAAGTATAAAGACTGGTTTTCCTATTCTGGCAGCACCCACAAGTAAAATCACTATGGAGGAACAGTGACACTGTTCAAGAGTCCTTTGGGGAACCAATGGATTGAGAGAGGTCTGGGGGACAAGGACAGTTGGTCGCTGATGCTCTGAAAATGTTCCTTCCAGAGGAGACATCCTTGTATTAAAGCGACAATTCAAAGGATTCACTTTACAATGGAGCAGGAAAGCCCCCAAGGACAGTGTGTGTTCACTAAACATCTCCATGGGCCCAATCCTGCCAGAAGCCAGTGAACTAGGAGTCCATAGACAGAGGTCATGGGCATCAGTGTCCTTCCGGCCCAGAGCTTGTGTAGAGAAGACCTGAGGGTTGAAGGGGAGATATCTGGCATAGTCCTTTAAGAGTGCTACAGAATAAACTGTGCTCCTCCAAATTCATATGTGCATGCCCAAAGGCCCAATAAGACTGCATTTCTAGGAGGATCACTAGTGAGATACTCAAGGTTAAAGTGTGGGGCCGAAAATAATAGGCCAGGTGTCCTATTAAGAAGCAAAGAAGAGGGTGTGTGGGCATAGAGGAGAGGCTTCCATGAAGGTGCCTGTGTGGAAGAAATATGTATCTGAGAATTCATATCCAGAGAGGAGGCCTCATCAGAACTCAGCTGTCCTGATACATTGACCTTGCACTTCCAGACTCTAGATTTGTGAGACAATATATTTCTTTTGCTTGATCTGCTCAGTCTGTGATATTTTGTTAAGGCAGCCCAAGCTGACTGAAGAAGAAGAGAGAAGGAGATGAACAGTGCCCTGCCCCTCACAAAGGAGACAGAGTACAGATGCAGATATCATTCCATCCATGAGGCAAAATGACCTTTATGCCTGTGTGTATGATTTATGATCAAAGTCCCAGAAATACACAGACTGAATTTGTGGTCTGAAAATGCCATAAAGACAGCTGCTAAAGATCTATGGGGTTAATTTGAAACAATTAGCAATTCACAGATTTATTTACTGCAGATGCACAGGGGTTTTTTATTAGGGTGAAATATTCAGAAACCAAAACATGTGGTAAAGAAAAAAATCTGGATATTGTCCTTCAATTCAGAGTAACTTAAAAATTAAATCATTATGTAGTGTGCAGGTAGAAAGGAAGGTGGGCATAATATTATATAAAAAAAAGAATTCCCAGATACATATTTTCTGTAGGAAATAATGATGTTTTCTAGCATGGTAAATATTATGAGTGCAATTGGTTATTTAAATATGGCTCTGAATGAAAAAAAACCCTTTGATTTAATTGAGTGCCAACTTAAAAGTTAATGAACTTAAGGCAAAAGATATTGTGAAATCCATGCAGGATCCATTCAACCAAACACTAAATAGTCTTTTTCTAAATGTGCATGTGTTTTTTCTTATGTGTGCCCTACAAAAATCAATTTATATTACCCCATAAGCATTATTTTTAAAGGATAGAGAGGAACTAGTTTTTCTTGTGGCTCAGAAGGTCAGAAAAGGCCACTTTATGCCGGATTACCAATTCAATCATACACCGAAAGCTAAATTTTGTTTCGTTACATGGTGTGATTACTTTTTCAGCCAATGAAGTTATTTTATTTGATACTTTAATATGACTTTCTCCTCCTGTGTTGCTTAGCAAGGCTTCTTAAAGAAACTTATATAAATGAGGGAGATCTCTTGCAATACAAAAAGGAGGAAGGAAATGATAATGTATGAATTCTATTATTACCCAATTAAGAGTAAAATGTAGAGTAATGCCAGAAAGGTAAATATTATTATATGGATTTTTACAAATTAGGAAGCTGAGACACATTAATGGTCCCTGCATCATTTAACCAAAACATCATGGAGACAAGAGATAAGGACCCCATGTCTGACCAGAATCTATGTATGTGTGTATATCGACATGAAGAGACATGACAGAATAACCCTCAGAATGAGAAACTTCTTTCATTGATCTGTGATGTTCTCCAAGTACAACCCAAATGCCTAATTAACTAAAGCCCCATGCTGATCCTCTCCCCAGTTTTTACACACTTCTGTCCTCAGTGGTTAAAAA